TCCTCCAGTTTTTCTTGGTCTTTTCTTAATTCCTGTATCACTGACCACATCTACCGTGATTTTTGATGGGCTTCCTTTTCATCATAAGCTCCGCCCAAAGGCAATGGTCGTAGTAGGTAACCGAAGCAATCCCGTCCATCATCTCTGTGGTACGCACTCACAGAGATGAATGATGAACCGCGCTCGGATTTAAAACGACCCCGCAATAAACCCCCGGGGAAGTACTGTTGGCCATCGCCGCCTGGTGTTAGCTATGACCGCTCACCGCAAGAGTGCGTGGCTGGCACAGGGCCTGCAATCAGCTGGGTTGATTGCCGCATCAGCTGCTGGCCCCGAGCCAGAAATGACTGGCAATCCCATAAACTCGTTCAGATAAGCCTTGCTGCTACGTCCGCCTTCTTCGCTGCTCTCGGAAGGGGGGGGAGGGAAAGGGTTTTATTTTCAGCCTTGACCACGGCTTTTTTTCACTATCGTTCCATGTTGCACGTATATTCTTAGCTTAAGGCGCCATAATACCTCAAATCGAGCCCGGCCTTTTCCTTTGAAGGCGACGTGCATGAAGAAATGCTGTATTCCTTCCAAGCGTACATGCCTCATGTGTGATCAAATCGGTAATTCTAATTTCTGCAAGGTTCCATCCACGAATTTTCAGTTTCCGAAAAGAAGAAACCAAATCCTCGGAAACCACGCTTTGCGGACGGCTCACGGTCACCTGGGCGGGGCCATCGAGGTGCATGGGACGGAGTGTGTGGTGGGGAGTCATGTACTAGGCGATGTGTAGTAGGAAAAAATTGAATCCGACGTCCCAAAGTCAGAATTGGAGACATAATGTTTAAGTGCGACAAACTACGACGCAATATAAGAGTTGGATGCTCCTGCCGAGATACGGGAAGGGTAAAACCATGTGGTTTTCGCGCAGCGTGCCATTTTTCCTCTGAGCTCGCAGAAGCCAATGAAGATCTTGTTTGCGCGTCTTCGGCGATCCCTTTCATATTTTTTTCTCAGTAGAAAGCCAACCAGCGCCTACAGTTTCATTTCTAAGCCCTCGCTTTACAGTTTTAGCTATCGCATGTGCCTTTGAAAATGTACTACTTCATAAATCTCATTTATTAGCTCAAAAAAAACAATCATGGACCGAAATGAAAGTGAAGCATGGCGAACCTTGAAACACAAACAACACTATAATCTATGATGTTTTACGGACAGTAAGCAGAGAAACATTCAAAAGTACATTTCTTCCACTGATTGGCATTTACTAGTTAACAACGTGACAATCGGATGAATAACATAATTAAACAAGTGGAAATGTTGGAAAAATTTACGCTTGTAACAAAATCAAACTGATATTTTCTCGACTTTTCTCATTTCTATTCACAAAACTCGCCTTCGATAAGTTGACCGACATTGGCGACAGCGCGGGACACATAGATGCCGCAGAGAGGAGGACTCGTTTTGCTCTATTTGTGCCTCAATTTTTCTGTTGAAAAACTGTCTATATCTATTATCGGATACAAAAAATGGTACATTTCTCAACAATGATGAAATTAATGGTGAAGAGTAACTAGTGGTGCGAACTTGTGAATAAAAATGGGCAGGTGCGCACATAACGCCTCAGAGTGTTGTACAGCAAATACGCCTTCAACACGTCAGGGACAGCGTGACGCGCATGCGCCTAGATTTTCGAGAGGACGAGACTGGTTTTGCTCGATTTATTCGCTATTTTTTATGTACCAGGGCTATCCTTCTACACTATTGGATCCAGGAAATGATTCCCATTTTGCGCGTTCTTGACGGATTTCTTTGGATCTCCCCCAACAGGCCCCGCGCGGCGAAGCAAGAGACGCAGATGCGGCAAAGAGACGAGTTGCAGCGCGTGCTGTGCGATATGAGACGTAGTATGGTACACTCTCTTTAACCTGACGCCTAACCGCTACAGTATGCGCTGCGACTCGTCCCTTTGCCGCGTCTGCGTCTCTTGCTTCGCCGCGCGGTGGGCCTGTTGGGGGACACCCGATTTTGCGATGTTGTGGTTTCGCCACTGGTAATATATCACATGCCCCACTTCCCCCGCATCCCCACCCAACTCAATTTTATCGTAATCCCTCGCTTTAACGCACTGACGACACATCCTTCCACTCATCATCAACTCAATTTTTTTCGAATAATTTCGAAACCATCGTCGTCCCTTCAATAATTCTGTTACTGGTAACGAGTATATACTATTTCCTGGATCCAATAGTGTAGAAGGATAGCCCTGGTACACAAAAAATAGCGAATAAATCGAAGCAAAGCTAGTCTCGTCCTCTCGAAAATCTAGGCGCATGCGCGTCACGCTGTCCCTGACGTGTTGAAGATGAGCAATGCTGAGACGTTTTGCTGTTAAGACACTTTGTGACGACGTTATGTTGCCGCCCCCTACCCATTTTTATTCACAAGTGGAATCATGAGCAGTCTCCATTAACCCTTTGACGACAATGCGGATTTGCACGTAGCGTGCTCGTGGGACCACGCCTCTTTTTGGCGCGCCCAACTCTCGCACAAAATGGGGCAAAATTGTCCCTAAAAGCAGTTTTTCTATCAAAATTTTGACTATGACAATAAACAAAATATGACTGCAGTCTTAAGCTTTATGATCATGTATTGTTGGAATTAGAAGTGGAAGTTTGGAAAGAAATCTCGGATTTCAAAGGGATGGTGTTTGAAAACTCTAGAAATTCAAATGTACAGTAGAATTTTTGATATAGTTCAAACTCCTCCTTGTGTCTTAAAGACTGTGAAAAGACGTAGAGGTCCTGATCTGTAATTCACTCTAAGCTTAATAATGAAAAACAGCTAGCTTAATACATCGCCGAGCGAAGTGCCATATCCTAAAACTTCATATAAATTAGCTAGGAACCAACATTTCTGCAAAATATGCTAACATAGGACGTAACGGAGCTTGCTTATAATTTACTGATAGTTTGAAAATGTTTTAAATGGGTAAGAAGAAATTTTAGGGTGGCACCCACCATTGGGTGCCATTGTCCCACGC